TTTTAGAGGTTTAGTACCTAAGCTTAGGTGGGGCTGTAATGTATATTCCCTATCCCCATATATATATATTGTTATTTTTATTAAATTTTTTTGATGTTTTGTTTGAATATAATGTTGTTTATTGATATTCTATTTATCTTTATAATTTTTTAATCGGGCAAAATGCAGAAAAGCACAATCATTTATCTACCGATGTTTAGAAAAACTCTTATATTTGTTTATATGCAAAAAATCCTTACATTTTCAGTTACCTTTCACATTAACCTAAATATACGACTTTTAAAGAAATTACCAGTTGTTTTCTGACATGACAAATATATTTTTCGCTTTTAGGTTAACATGAAACCAAAAATAAGTGACATTATCTCTTGTGTAAGGTAAAATGTGAGAAATATATCATTACTCAAGCAAAAATAAGTGATATCGTTTATTTTTTTCAATGTCAACCTATAAACGAACAAGATAAATGTTATGCCAGAAAACAACCCCTGATAACTTCTTAAAAAACGGATATTTGGGTAAATCTGAAACATAACTGAAAATGAAAAAGTTTTTTTGAATGTTGATAGATAAATGGTCGTGTTTTTATGTATTTTGCCCTTTCGAATTTTATTTTTATTTTTAATCGTTTTGTTCGAATATTTTATTTAATGATGTCTTTTTCCGAGACCACCGTCTACACACACCCGCACACATGCTATTTGCTTTTACAAACAATATAATATGTACACACTACACACACTAGTGATCTCCATATTTTTAGTGTTAATTTTTCCTTATTGTTTTCAATCACATATTTTTTGAATTTGTATATTTCAATGTGGGTGCATATCCGTATTGATGTTATATAGTCAAATTTTCTTTCCTTGTACAGCACTATTACGAGTGCATACATCGCTACACAGTTCTTCTTGTTGTCACTACAAGAATCATCAAAGGATCCGTTATATTTTGTCTTGGTGCGACGTCAAAAAGAGTAAGAATCTTTTTAGTACAGGAGTTGTCATTCCACATGTCCTTCCATCACACTCTTATTTTGTCCAATGATAAAATGCTTGGTTGCAAAATGATACATGCATTTGAGCTTGAAATCACATCGTGTAAAACAAATTGTTATAATACTTTCAAAATTATTTATACATTGGCTCAGGGATGCCATGGGATACAAGAGGGGATCTTCTGTTTTAACTACAAGAGTAATCATTTATGCACTTGGCTGCTTGATGCTGGGAACTTTTGTTTATGTGCTTATTGTTGATGGATCACAATTCCATGCCGAATTATTCCCACCGTAATTTTCCTTCTCTTTTTATATTATATAGACATGGTTGATTATTTTTCGACAACCACAAAAGTGCTCCTATGAATTAATCTTCAATCTTTTCTCATGCTTCTCTTTCAATTGCAAATTGCAATGTAAAGTTGACAATATTAAATGGTTGCTAGGTGTGGGATAGCAACATGGATCGACGTCTCTTTCATGATTGTCACTTTATCTGTATGTCTTCCTCGCAATCCAAAACTTAAATGTACATAAAATGATTCTATTTTTCCATTCTTTATAAGAATATTTGCAATGCTTCTTTATAGGTTTGGGTAGCTTATAAGGAATCAAGTTGGATAAGTGCTTTCTTTTGGATACTTTCACTTGTATGTTTTGGGAGGTACGAACTGTATTTGCTTTAACTTTATTAGATCATCCACAGTAAGTTGTTTTTTCTTAAGTTTTTTGGTGCATGACACATCAATAAATCAAAATAATATAGTTTCCATACATTTATATAATCTATTTTACATTCTTAGGTGTATACATTTATTATTTCACCTCACTTCATATAACTCTTTCACAGCATTGGTACATGTGTGTACATAGTCGTGCAGTTGTTTTACCTCTCACCTCAGCAACCTGTTTCCCTTGTGCTTTTCAACAACAATAACAAGTAAGTTTGCAATTTATTTGAATTGACTTACATATCCAAGCATGATATAAAAAGGTAATATTTTTATTAATTCATATATGATATACCAATGACTTAAGATAATGGTTCCATAAGAATTTGATACTCCATCCATGTCATAATTAACAGTTTTATACAAGCATTTAAATACCCTCCTCTATAATAAGAAAAGGATTAACTTTAGCAAAATCAATGCAATGACTAAATGCAACACAATTGTAGGCAAATAAGTACTTGAAATTTTGCTAGATTATTAAGGTTGTGAGTGAACAACTGTTGTTACCTATGGATGTTTAATTGATATTACAAAATAACTCATATTGCATCATATTGTTCAATTTTTGGTTAAACTCGTGTTTATGTTTTTTGATATTTTTAAATTTTACAGAGACTTGTTGTCAAATGATCCCCTATTGATGGTGCATACCAATGCATGAGAAGATTCTGCAACAGTTTGTTTTTTCTAAATGTATATTTTATGATTTCGCAAATAATGACATTTCCATAACAAGTTATGTTGATGTGTTATGCTTGTAAAATATATATTCTGAAAAAACATAATTATTTTAGCCTTTGTATATGCAAAATCATCTATAACATTATTAAGATCAATTCCATCTAATACGTCTTAAATTCGAGCCTTTGTGGATGCCTATTATCAAAGGATGCTGCAAAATAAAATCAGTAACAAGTCATAAATATGTAAACCAACAATTCTAATTCATATAATACTAAATAGTAATACCTTATCTAGTCTTAGAAATCTAATAGTTTGAAGATGAAACTCTGAAAAATCAAGTCCAACACAAACATTAGAAAAGTTTTACAAATATCTACAAACATATTACCTAATTCAGTGAAAAATCTGAAACTTGGAGATTTGAGTTTCACTGTTTTTCAATCTGAAGCTTGAAGAATCTAACTTAAAATTTTGATTCCAAAACAAACAGAGAATGAGAAATGAAAAGCTTTGAGAAACAAAAATCAGAAAAAAAGAAACAAATACAAACAGAGGATGAAAAGCAAAAAAAGCCAGAAACGAAAAAAACATAAATAATAATCAGAAATTAAAATCAGAAGCTTTAATGTTGATCAAACCTTATATGGCAACTGCTCATCACTTCAGAAATCAGAGTTCAAGACAAAGGGGAAGATGAAATCATCTGCCCAACACATAAGGGGGCAAAATCAGTAGTTCAACACAAGAGAAATCAGACTGTAACTCGGTAAGACCAATAGAGAAATTGTTTGATAACTGATCAAGAGAGAAATCAAAAACAAAAATTCTGATGTCTAGATTGTGTATGCGAGAAGGAGAAGCGATATTACAGATGCGATAATGTCGAGATTTACGAGGTATCGAATTAGCGATTCATGAGGAGTCAATAGTGTTCCCGCCTGATGGCGCCCTACCATATGTGCATGATGCTCGCGCTTACCCGCCAACCACTCCAAGCCATGTTTTTTTAATATATTTATTTATTTATTTATTATTTTTTCTTTTGCTATAATTTCGAATCGAGTTAATTGGTCCTCTAAGTAAAATGTAGATAATTAATTTTTTTAAACATATATACTATATATCCCATAAATTTTGGGCACCTTAAAAACGTGTGCCATGGACAGTCGTCTGTATTGTCCACCGTAGGACATGCTTGAATTGATATAACATCAATAATGGAGTGGGTAGATCCATTAGATAGTGGATATTGACATCTGAATTTGTATCCGAAATTTCAGATATGTATTCGAATATTAATCAGATATTTGAAAGAAGTAAAATTTCAATTTATTTTTACTTTCTCTCTATTTAGACATTATACACCATAAAACAATCATAAAGTAGTGTTTTATCTTTCACTTGACTACTTAACCAATTTGGTAAAATATAGACAAAACTTCATGGGAGCTGCTCCCTGTGGTTTCACAAAATCTAAAGTTTCGTTCCGAACTTTAAAGAACCTCACAGATGGTCATATGGTTTCAAAACTTTTAATGTTTAGTCCTTATGGCTCACTCCGTCAGTATTTATCCGTTAAGTGAAGGACATTTTTGTCATTTCACTACCCCAAGGACCATTTATGAGGTTTTCTTATTTAAAAAAAAACAAAAGAAAAATGAAATTTAATATGCAAGGGGACTCTCTCTCTCTCACTCACTCACTCACTCACTCACTCACTCAC